TTTGCACCAAACTTACGTAAAATGTTCCGGGGAGTCTATTGACGTCGAGACAATTGCAAAATTTTTGATAGTTTAGAAGTTATTGTTGTGTTTTGGCTGTTTTTGACTTTATTAGCGATTTTATGGAAAGAATATGCGTTTTTTTTTGGAGCCCATTGAGAACAAAAATGACGAAGTTGTTCCTTATCTAAATTAATTTAAGTTCATTATTTTTGCGTCTTTTTCAAAGCAAATTTCTATTGAATTAAAACTGTTTTTGTTTATAATCGTGTATTTACTACACACTAAAATTTGTGTTTTGTTAAAATTTTGATTCAAAAACACCGATTCGAGTCGTTTTTGGCGGTTTTAGCCTTTATTTGCTAAATCTTTCAAAAAAAAAACAAACCATATCAGGGGCGTAATGAACAATTTCTAATTKAAAATGGTCCAAAAAAATTCAAAATTCATTGTTCGATCGTTAACCGATTTTAAAATCCACCAATCAGAATACGTCTTAGATTTTTCGACAAGAAAAATTAAAATAATAAAAAAAATGTTTCAAAAATTGGCTTGATTTTAGTGTCAATCTAACTTATTTCTCTATCTGTTAAATGTTTTTTTATTTATTTTTTTTCAGTTCTGTTATTTATTACAAAAATATTTTGTTTCATTCTTTCTCTCTTTGTTTTTTAGCTTTTTTTGTATTGTTTATTCTCTTTTTTGGAATTTCTCATTTTTTTGTTAATTATTTTCCATATCATTTTTTCGAAAATATTACTTACCAAAAATTCTATTCTGACGCAGTATATCACTCGAGTATTTTTTTTTAATTTCAGAATTTGTTGCAGAAAAAATACAATATGTGACACTCACCGTCGGTAAAATTGGTCGGTTTGTTAATTTTAATCCTGTTAGAAGCTTGTAAAAGCACAAATTTTTGAAATTTTGGGACCCAAAAACGGTCCATATTTTTTATTTTTTTTAAAATGCGCAAAAACTGTACCTCAAAAAGTTTTTTCAAGTTTACTTATGTAGAATATTCCGGGAAGTCGAGAAAACTGCAAAATTTACAATAGTTTCGAAATTATAGTCGAATTTATATTTTGGCAATTTTTTATTTTTCAAACGATATTTTATTTTCACTATACGTCAATTAACATCTCCATTTTTATACAGGGTGTTTCACATAACTTTACGAGGCTTGCGCCTAATGTACGCACCCAAATATACAAAAATCACAGAACACTGGATACAAAAAATACAAATTTAATTATTTAATTTTCGGAAACCCATGACAGTAGTTGTCAAACTAATCACTGTTTCATTAATAGTCATAAACTGCAATTTTTCAGAAACAATTATCATTTGTTTTATCAAGAGACGGCATGAATATGATTGTAGTTTATCTATTTTAATCACTAACTAACTAAAAACGTTGTAATTTTTTAAAGGGTGAACAAACTAGAGAAGATTATCCAATTTTTCAAAATTTGTAATCGAGTTCGTATCAGAATATGTATTATTGATTGCATCTTACAGGCGCAGGCCTCGTAAAATTACGTGAAACACCCTGTATTTTATTAAAATTGGGATATACCAACTTAAATATACTAACTTAATTATATTTGTGGTCTTTATAAACCATTTCAAGCTCACCAAATATTTATCTCACAAACATAATTAACACGTGACACATAATCATTAGATAATCACAGTTTCATTATTACTGTTTTTAATTAAATTTCTGATCAAAGTAACCCTTGACTTTGAAATTAAGTTGGCAACACTGAATTATTGCTGATATCGGAAATGAACGACAATTGACTATTTATAAAATTTGATACAAGTTTTGCCAACTTAAATCGTTTAAAAAAAATTGTTGCAGGTGTTACAACTCATTCTTACTGTTTTTAATTAAATTTTTGATCAATTAAGTTGGTAACACTGAATTATTTCTAATATCGGAAATGAATGCCAATTGACTATTGGCAACTCAGTTTTGCCAACTTAAATCGTTTAAAAAAAAAATGTTTCAGGTGTTACGACTCATATGGAATTATCCAAATTGGCATTCCTGTCAAACTTGGCCCAACTAATTCCAATGCCCGATTGCAACCAATCACCTCGTAATATGTACCAATGTCAGATGGGTAAACAAACAATGGGTACCCCATGTCACAATTGGGGTTCCCAATCCGAAACCAAACTCTACCGCCTTCAAACACCAGCAACTCCCCTTTTCCGACCCGTCCATTATGATAACATCAAACTTGACGATTTTGCAATGGGCACAAATGCCATTGTTGCCGTTATCAGCTACACAGTAAACCCATTTAATGATAATAAAACCCCCCAATTGAACCATCTGTCTTCAGGGCTACGACATGGAGGACGCAATGATAATAAACAAAGCCGCCGATGAACGAGGTTTTGCCCATGGTTCAATTTACAAAACCGAATTTGTTACTCTTGAACACGAATCGTCGTATTTTTGTCGTAATCCGGAAAAACCCGATTTGGCCCAATTTCTCGACACGGATGGTTTACCCATAATCGGACGCCGAATGAAAGAGGGGGATCCCCTATATTGTTATTACAGTGTGGACGAATCACAATACAAAATATCGAAATTTTCGGGTAAAGAGGAGTGTTTTGTCGACACTGTCAAACTATGCGCCAGTTTTGAAACGACCAATCGCACAGCTTGTTTCACGTTCCGAGTTCCGGTACTTCCCCCATGAAAATTTTAAGTTGGTACTCATGTTTCCTTGTAGCGTAATCCCACAGTCGGTGATAAGTTTGCAAGTCGGGCTGGACAAAAGGGCATTTGTTCGCAAAAATGGCCAATGGAGGATTTGCCCTTTACAGAAACGGGGCTTGTGCCTGATATTGTTTTCAATCCTCATGGGTTTCCCTCGCGTATGACCATTGCGATGATGATTGAGGTTATGGCGGGGAAATCAGCAGCGCTTCATGGACTTGTTCACGATGCAACTCCGTTTAAATTTACCGAAGATGATACGGCGATTGATTATTTTGGACGATTGTTGGAAGCAGGGGGCTATAATTATTACGGGACTGAAACTATGTATTCGGGGATTGATGGGAGGGAAATGACAGCGCAAATTTTCTTCGGAATTGTGCACTATCAACGTTTGAGACATATGGTTTCGGATAAGTGGCAGGTGAGGGTTTTTGGAGTTAGATTTTTACCTCCTCAAAAAAATCGAAAATTTTCAAATTTTCTTAAGTCTTTTCTCGTAAAAATGCTTGAAATATGGTTTGCAACATGTTAAAATACTCTACGATGCAGAGTTTTTGAGATATTGAGTAATAAAGTTAAGAATAAGGCTAAAAGTAAAAGCACTATATCCGATTTTGACCAAAAATCAACATTTTTTGATTCTTATGAAAATTGCGGCAAAACTGTGTCTCAATGACATAATATTTTAACCTATACCTATGTAAAATGTTCCGGGGAATCGATTGGCGTTAAGAAAACTGCAAAATTCCTGATACTTTTGAAGTTATAAGCGGATTTATATTTTTGATATTTTTGACTTTATCAGAAATTTTCTCGATAACTATTCATGGTAGAACACTGAACTTTTTAATATATGATAGAAAATTTAATTTTCTATCCAACGGTACCAAATATAAGAGGTTATCTCTAATAAGTCCGGAGTTATTGCAATTAAACCGCTCGGGGTGCCAAAAATCGACCAAAATCTCGACAAAAAACAAAAAAAAATTTATCTTTAAAATTGATCTATTTTACGTTTTTTACATTTCTAGAGGTCTTAAGGACTCAAATAAATGCATAAAACGGCATTGGGTCAAGTTTCAAAAATTTTGAATTTTTTGAGTTTTTGAAGGTGAGCGGTAGTAAAATCGTAAATATAGTCAATTTACTAAAAGTCGTAAAAACGGTTGAAATATGGTTTTCTAGACGTAAAATTACTCGCTGAACACGATTCAACTAGTTAGAATACTCTACGATGCATAGTTTTTGAGATATTGAGTAATAAAGTTAAGAATAAGGCTAAAAGTAAAAGCACTATATCCGATTTTGACCAAAAATCAACATTTTTTGATTCTTATGAAAAACTAGTACTATATGTAAAATTAACCGGAGAACACGCCTGTACTAACTATTTTGTCCTAAGACTCATAGTTTTTGAGATATGAATTAAAAAAAAAAAAACTAAAAATGGCTCTGTACCCGGAYCCATAACCCGGAGCGACTTCCGGTTTGCGCCAGTAAATAGGTAATTTCAAGCTAATATTAATGGTTTTTAGCTTTTTGCTCTGAGTCTTTTAGTTTCGTAGAAAAACGCGTTTAATGTTTCACAATTTTACGGCCAATTAGACTTAGAGCAAAAAACTCGACACCATCGTAATCAGCGTAAAAAAATCTGTCGATTGACACTAAAGCCAAGTCAAATTTTGAATTTTTAAACGAATTTGAGACATGTTCAAAAAAGCCATTGTTATACGGGGGGGTGTTCAAAAAATTTTACTTTTTCTAATTATGTCAATTTCGGCTAGAGTATGTCCAAAATGGTTACTATTTTAAACCAAAACTATGTAAAATGTTTCGGAGAGTCGATTGGCGTTGAGAAAACCGGAAAATTCCTAATAGTTTAGAAGTTATAGTCGAGTAATACTAATAATTTTGATACTTTTTATTTTTACAAACGATTTTATGAATAACTGTTTGTCGCAGGACAATGATCTTTTTTGTATAAGATAGAAAATTTAATTTGCTTTCTAACGATATCAAACACAAAGGGGTTCTTGATAATAATTCCGGAGTTATTGGAGATAGATTACTCCGGGTACCGAAAATCGTCAAAAATATTTTTAAAAATCGAAAAATTTAAAATTCAATGGGGCCCAAAAGTTCATAAAACGTTTAACATAAAAGAGAAAATTAAAATAATTCCCTTGAAACGCTTAGACTTCAACTTGCCATACCCCACGTGACTATATCACTATCTCTGTTACGCAACGGATTCATAATATTTACTTTCTTTCTCTAATGGTTGGGCTCAATCGCCAACTAAGTACAGAGTGGTTATAAATGATTTTCATCTAGCCAGCTTTGGAATTTTTGTGCATGTAACTTTATTTGTGCCGCTCTACTTTTATTGAAAGCTCTAGTTCTGTCATTAGTGTCACTTATTAATTAATAAGAAATTGTTTTTAATTAAACTTTTATTGTTTTAACTAATTTCCAATAATAATTGATGTCTGTTTTCGAAGTGGACGCTTAGTAAACGGCGATTTTTTAATTTTGAGTTGAAACAAGTAGGTACCGCTATTTTCGTGAAGCGGCATTTTTTTTACGTGGCTAGCTAGATGAAAATCATTTATAACCACTTTGTAGTTTTTATTGTAATATTGTTTTAACGGCAATTTTTAAGGTGCGTTCGACTGGCCCTACAGACATCCTGACGCGCCAGCCCCTCAAAGGGCGTAAACGTGGAGGCGGAGTCCGATTTGGAGAAATGGAACGTGATTCGTTAATCAGTCATGGCGCTTCGTTTTTGTTACAAGATCGCCTACTACACTGTTCTGATAAAACAACAGTAAGGTCACTTGCATAATTCTTTATCAATCTTGCAATTGTTTTTTAGGCGTTTATTTGTACCTCTTGTGGCACTCTATTGGGTCCAGTGACTGTGATAACCCGAATGGCCGAAAAACCCAACCAATCCAGTTACAAGGAAACTTGTAGGTTATGTGGCCACGGCCGTGACATATCCGAGATACAAATCCCCTACATTTTCAAGTTTTTCGTAACACAGATGGCGTCGTGTAACATAAATGTCAAAATTTTGACACAACATGTGTGACAAGCAGTGTTGCCAATAAAACAGAAATAAACGCAAATAATTTATTTTTGAATCTTCTGCGGTAACGTGGAACAGATAAAACAAACACAAATAAAATAAGTTATCTAATGCTTACTGTACAGCGTTACAATGAACATGTCGAATAATTTAAGGAAAATTGGCTAGTTTGTACAAGTTTTTCCCCGGTTTTGTACAAGTGATGACAACTGTACTCAGCCGAGGAAACGACTACTAATACGAGCGATTTAGTAGAAATTAATTTCTACGTCGCTAGTTTATTTAGTTGCTGATTCCAAGTAAGCGATGAGGTCTGCCCGTTCTTGCGGTTTTTTGAGTCCAGCGAAGACCATTTTCGTTCCGGGGATGTATTTCTTGGGGTTTTCGAGGTACTCAAACAGCGTGTCTTTGTTCCATGTGATTCCTGGAAGAGAAATAAAAGTTTGATTTACGGTGTTGGTGTCCCTGTCGGAGTTTAGGTTGGTACGGACCAACTGTCACTTTTTGAAAAAAACATGGCCGTTTTGTGTTACCTTTGGCTTTGTTGGCGTCGGTGTAGGCGAACCCGGGGGCCTGCCCCGTCTTCCTCCCAATCAAGCCGTGCAAATTGGGGCCGGTTTTGTGCTTGCCCCCGGCCTCGACAGTGTGGCATTGGGCGCATCGTTGGACGAAGAGTTTCTTGCCCTTTTCGACATCTCCAGCGGGGACTCCCATGGTGCTCGACTGCAACTGATAAACTGATGATTTTTGGATATCAGGTGATGTAACGCTAGCGCAATCGCGGCCACGTGCACTAGAGGTTAGGCAAATTCCACGGGGCGCACTTTGGATTTAGGGGTGACGTCACACACGTGATTCACTGGGATTCTCGCTGATAAGAGATAACAGCCGTTGCGTGAAATGTGGGTTAAGTTCGAGTTTTTGGTCTCGAGCCAAACTTACATAACCAAAAATTTTGAAGGCGAATTGTCAAAAAATGTACAAGTGGCCACTTGATTATGTAATCAGGGATTAACAATTTGGGAATTCCATAAATTGAGGTCACGTGAGATGAATTGAGGTGGGTTTTTGGGGCTTATGAATGAGGTAAAATGGTTAAATTCCGAAAAATTTAGTACGAACCTGAATTCACCGACCTTCTTCCTCTCGCAAACTGCAATTCACTGATCGATTTCGATTATTTCGCCAACTCCCGCGCAGAGGTTATCTCGAGAGGAAATTTCTAGATTTTAGTTGGGCTATTGGGTGCGAGAGGGCGGGGTGGTGTTTCCTGTAAAGCGCCGTTCACATTGATGGTGTTTTACTGATTGCATAAGTCTTAGACGTTAATAAATTTTTTTGTATTTCAAAAATAGCAAAGTTTGAAAAGTTACTGAAAAACCTGAAAACCGTACTTTGAAAACTAATCAAGTGTAAATTGTTAATTTAATTTTTTACTTTCGATATTTATGTAAAGCGCTGTTCACACAGAATCACACTGACGGTGTATTATTGGTTGCATAAAGATTAGATGTTAAGAAAATGCCAATCGAAATACTCTAAATATCTATTTAGGGTATTTAATAAAATTAAAAAATATATAATATGGTTGTTTTCCTTAAAAATTCTTTTTCCAGTAATATTTTAAAAAGCACAGCATTCTGACAATATGAATAATTTATTAAAAAACTGGAAAACGGCTAGGAAAATTTGAAAATCTACAACAATCAAACACAAAAACGTTTTCTCATTTCTTCTGGATTTTTTTAAAACAAATTTAAATAAATCAAGTTCTGAATTTTTTACTATTATTTCGGGTTTTTCATACTTTTTTCACTGAAGATGGACACAAAAGAGAAAAAAAGCGTTTTTCTAATTAAAAAAAAATTACAACGGAAAAAAAAAGATTTTGTGCAAAATTAGCCAAATTAAAGTTGGTAATAAAGCTGTTCGAAACAAGTTCTAACAAAAAATCACCTTAGAAATTTTCTTAGACACAATAAAAGTTTTGTTTTTCGATGCATTAGATTCTAAATTAGGTAGTTTGTTGTTAATACTGAATTTTTAAGGTGGTGTTATTTTTTTCACTTTTATTAGAGCCAGTATTTGTTTGAAATACTTTGATTTAGCTTGATTCCCAACTTAAAATTGAGCCAAATCGATTCAAAATATCACAAATTGCTTTATTTTAGCCTAAAATTAAGATTGAAGCA